TGGCACCAGACAGCCTTTCGGCCCTTATAAGGTGAAATCAGCGTGCCTGGTAGAGTAAAACAGAACCATATGTCGCTCACTGACTCCCTCGCGCAGCTCCGCCAAGGGGCTCGGGCTCTGGCGCGGAGCTGCACACAGGAGCCTAAATTCTGCTAATATAAACTGAAGAGGTCACATTTATATGGTCATGTTCAGGCCGCACACTGGGGCTTAATGTTACAGAGAGGGAGGAAACTGCGTTCTGTGTTCATGCACGTACTCATTGGCTCTAAAATGAATAGCTCTTGTTATTGTGAATATGGATTTGTCATAATACCCCATTTCCATGCTCATGCCAGCTGTGAGTCAGGAAGTTTTCTGATCTCACGCATGAGGATCTTCTCAATGAAGTCATTAGGAACCTCTTTTTAGAAGCATGATGTCAGAGTTGGATCTTCCAGTGACTCGTGGGATTGGTCTCACAGAAACTCTTTAACACGGGAAGGAATGTTTGATTTAAAGTTTACTGGTGAAAATACAGTAAAATTTTGTTTTATTTTATGATTTATTATTTCTTTTGTAGAGTATTTTGGCTAAAACAAATCAAGCCTATTAAGATTTTTTTTTGCTATGTGACATTTATTGTCAATAATACCTTTCTTTTCCTTTTTTCACCTTTTTTAAGGTGAAATGTAACTAAAACATGTACTTTGATACATAACATGGAGTTAATAAATGAATAGTTCACCCAAAAATGAAAGTTTGTGGAAAATGTACTCCCTCTCAGGGCATCCAAGATGTAGATGAGTTTGTTTCTTCATCGGAACGGATTTGGAGAAACTTAGCATTACATCGCTTGCTCACCAGTGGATCCTCTGCAGTGAATGGGTGCCGTCAGAATGAGAGTCCAAACAGCTAATAAACACATCACAATAATCCACATGACATCAGTTAATATCGTGTGAAGCGAAATTCTACATATTTGCTGCATATTTCTCTCCTGATTCAGACAAGACGACTTTTTCACTGAAGACAGCAATAGTATGGATAGAGGACTCATATTTTAGCCGGAAGCAACAACTTGAAATTAAAAAAACATCTTGATGGATTTGTTTTTTTTATAAACATGCAGCTTTTCACTTCACAAGACGTTAATTGATGGACTGGAGTGATGTGGATTACATGTGCATTATTGTTTTCATATGTTTTTATCAGCTGTTTGGACTCTCATTCTGACGGCACCCATTCACTGCAGAGTATCCACTGGTGAGCAAGTGATGTAATGCTACATTTCTCCAAATCTGATGAAAAAAAAACAACTCATCTACATTTTAGATGACCTGAGGAGGAGTACGTTTTCAGCAGATTTACATTTGTGGGTGATCTATTTCTTTATATTTATGGACCATAGTATTTATGTAGTTTATGGTATACATCCTAAAAACATACCATGATACTTTTTGGTTGCATTTGGTTGGTGGTTACTTGTGAGGCTTCCTTCCAGCTGTAGCAAGTGTGCATTCAGACAGTTCCCGTCTCTCTGTCCAGTGCTCACAGCAGAACCACAATCTGCTCTTGTCTGTTGAAGTGAATCTGGACGCTAAATCAAGCCTTTTCAAATGCTGCATGGAAAATCTGAGCCACACGTGAGAGCTACTTCATATTCCAGCGGCCGTCCTGCCGTTCGTTTTTCCAGCAATCAGGCTCACGAACACTGAAGCCCAAGTGGAAATCATCAGCTTCAGATCTTCCTTCTGCAATCAATAAACTAAAATAAATACATGCAGGAATGACATACAAATAAAGAGAGAAATCTCCAAAGCAAAGATTTAAAGATCAATCCTGGGTGTTTCAATTTCCAGGAGTTTAATACGTGACCTTATTTAACTGCTTGTCCGTCACGCTAAAGTTTCTGTGACTATAAATGCATGAATATTTAAAGAGGCAAGCGTTGTCTAGTTTATGATTGGTTGTTTGTTGCTTTTTTGTGAAACCCTGCAATTTGGGTTAAAAGAAGTGCTAGAAATTCAAATGTGAAACTTCACTTAATGCAATATTAAAATGGTCTTAACTTGAGGTTAAAAATATAGTGTGAAATCCCTTATAAGCTGCAGAAACGGCTTGTACAGAATTGATTTAGCATCTTAGCAATGGCATTATAATTTATTTTGCATGCAATAAAAAGCCCTTCGTTTAAATCAATAATTATATACACAATCTATTTTTAAGTATTTATTATAAAAATGTATACAATTAATGATTTGATATTTTATTCTATTTTATGTGCATTTAACAGACACTATTATCCTTATTTATTTATGTATTTATTTAAAAAAAATAAAAAAAAAATTCAAATCCAATGCTGGTCCCATGATTATTCTACCTTTTAGGCTAAAGGTATTCCATTATTTTTATTATTTATTTGTTTATAGTTTTTTCTGTCAAAAACAGAACTATGACATGCTTAGACAATCAAATTTGCATCCTGATGAAAATGAATCCCTTTATTTAATGATTTTTACATAATGTTATTAATATATTTATTGTAAATATTTTTTTTTGTTATTTTTGTATGCATTTGACAGCCAATTTTATCTAAAGTAACCTGAATTCAAGGATTTTATTTTATTTTATTTTATTTTATTTTATTTTATTTTATTTTATTTTATTTTATTTTATTTTATTTTATTTTATTTTATTTTATTTTATTTTATTTTATTTTATTTTATTTTATTTTATTTTATTTTATTTTATTTTATTTTATTTTATTTTATTTTATTTTATTTTATTTTATTTTATTTTATTTTATTTTATTTTATTTTATTTTATTTTATTTTATTTTATTTTATTTTATTTTATTTTATTTTATTTTATTTTATGAACGAACGAACGAACGAACAAATATCCTAGGCATCAAACCTACGACCTTGGTGTTTTAGTGTTTGGTGTACATAAAATAACTTATTATTATTATTTTATTTACTTATAGAAGTTGTTGCAGTCAGAAACAGGACTACGGCAGCAACAACTTACACAATCAACTTTGAATCCTGACCAGGATAAACTCAGACAAACTAGAATAACTTTAAGGCAGAAGCTTTTCTCTGATTTCTCAGCTGTTGCCTGTCTGACATCTCATGACTGTGAGCTGAATATATTCTTTTCCATTTCAGTTGCTTGAATAAACTTTCGGAGACCCTTACACAACACAATATAAATCTGATTGTGCTGAAAATACACTCGGTCCCTCAGTGACTGACACACGTGCCAGAAGAGCACAGCGCTCCACTTTCATTCACTTTGCACTGATAACATTCAGATTGTTGCCATAGTTGCACACACTTGCACACACTTGCACACACACAGCAGGACGTCTTATGTAATGTGATGATATGTAAGAACGCCTCCTATTAGTGAGGAACTGACACAGTAATGACATTAGCAGAGGCTTTTCAACAGCATCGACGGTCAGTCGAATAAAACTCCTCCTCCTCTCTTACACAGTCTGTCTGGAATGGACAGATGTTTTCTTCTGGGAACATAATTCACACACACACACACACACACACACACACACAGTAGTGCAGATTGCATTGTTGGTTTAACTGATTTGTGTGTTAATGGGAAAGACTGATGCTGATTGATCTATTATCTTGATTTTGTTTGTACTTTGCATCATGGGTGATGAAAGAAGAACTTGAGTCTAAGAAAAAAATGTGGGTTTAATAATTATTTCTTTATAGAATACATATGTAATAATATATGCACTGTTCAAAAGTTTGGTAAATAATGTTTCTGAAAGAAATTAATACTTTTATTCAGTAAGGATGCATTAAATTGATCAAAAGTGACAGTAAAGACATTCATATTGTTACAAAATAAATCAATGCTGTTCTTTTGAACATTCTATTCATCAAAGAATCCTGAAAAAAGTCACAGTTTCCACAAAAATATGAAGCAGCACAACTGTTTTCATCAACATGAATTATTATAAAAGATTTCAGAGCACAAATCAGCATATTAGAATGATTTCTGAAGGATCGTGTGACACTGAAGACTGGAGTAATGATGCTGAAAATTCCATTTTAATATATATTCAAAAACAGTTATTTTAAATTGTAATATTACTTGAGAATATTACTGATTTTACTGTATTTTGATTGAATAAACACAGCTTTGATGAGTATAAAAGACAAAAAAGTTTTTACTTGTTTGGGGTTGCGATATATGTTTTTTTTTAGATTAAATATGTTCTTGATATTTCCTTTGTGGTTCTTCAGATTAGAAAATTGCTTTCTGGTTCCTTAAATAAGCAGGAAATAGTAGAAATAATATTGCAAATGAAAAAAGGACAGTGGGTAATGTCCACTTTCGGTGCTTGGTTTACCCAAAAATGCAATTACTGTCATAATTTATTCATGTTGTCCAAATGTCTATGGCTTTCTTTCTTTCTACACCAATGTACAATAATTTACATGGTCATAAGGGCCTTTCGCACCGCTTTAGTTCCAGAACTAAATGTACAGTACTAAAGTGCTGGGACGATTTTGCACGAACTATTTCCCAGTACCATTTAAAGTGTTGCATTCGCATCGACAGTGTGTACTAAGAAGTGATGTAGCCGTTCGACAGCGACGTCATTTGTGCGCGGCGTTCAACAACAGAAACAAAGAAGAACAACGGCCATATTTGAGAGCTACGGCAGAGGGGAAGATTTCAAGTCTGTTCCTCGCAAAAAAATCCATTGAATGATGCTTGTAATATTGTACACAGTCACAAGCTACTTGTATAATACTTTCTGTGGAGCTTCAGTCTCCACTTCACTTTTACTGTATGGAAAAGAGCAGCATGAACATTCGGCTAAACATCTCCTTTTGTGTTCCACAGAAGAAAGTCAGTCATACGGGTTTAAAACGGCTAACTTCTTCTCAGTCTTCCCTCATGAACAGCTTTCTGCAGCGGTTATCTCGAGTCTGAGTGTGTGTGAATCTCTAAGCGTCTCTTTCTGGCTTCTGTTGCAGAGATCTGTCCAGAAACCACATTCCCTCAGTGGATTCCAGCCTCTTTGATCACCTCACCGCCCTCAAGGAGCTGTAAGTGCCACGTCTCTCGAGCGTGTGTGTCTGTGTCTGTGTCTGTGTCTGTGTGTGTGTGTGTGTGTGTGTGTGTCTGTCTGTCTGTCTGTCTGTCTGTCTGTCTGTGTCTGTCTGTCTGTCTGTCTGTCTGTGTGTCTGTGTGTGTGTGTGTGTCTGTCTGTCTGTGTGTCTTTGTGTGTGTGTGTGTGTGTGTGTCTGTCTGTGTGTGTGTCTGTGTGTGTGTGTGTGTGTGTCTGTCTGTCTGTCTGTCTGTGTGTGTGTGTGTGTCTGTCTGTCTGTGTGTCTCTGTGTGTGTGTGTGTGCTGGAGATGCAGTCATTCATGTACGTCTGTAATGGGTGGTCTGGTGTAAACGTGAGTGTGTTTCTTTGTGCTAAAGCAAAAGCCTACTCGTTTCCTAATCTGCAACTTCCTGTTCACTTTTTCCCCCTCAGCTATCAGGTATAGATTAATTATATTTTCCACAATAAAAATAAAGCCTCCTTTTAGAATCTTGTAATTGTTTTCTGCCCATTTTCTCTCCAGATTATCATTATTGGAATGCAGTTAAATACTACCATAATTACAGTTATGATTTGCTATTTAAATAATGTATCATGACATCTTTTAGTGCAGTAGACTATTTTATTTTAATATGAGTAATATGAAATAATATATAATGACATCTTTTATTACAGTAGGCTATTTGATTTTAATTAGTTTAATAGCTGGAAAATATTTAAATTAAGTTTATCTAAGTTTGATTATATTAAAATAATCTTAATTGAACGCTAAAAGACAAAATCTATATGTGAAATACATTCTGTATTATTAATAATAAAATATTTTATTAGGAGTAACTGAATAAAAAATAATATTTAATAATGTATTATGACATCTATTATATCAGTAGAAGTTTTATTTTAATGGCTTTAAAGATTGGAAATTAAAATTAAATTAAGTTGTCAAGTTATCAATCAAGTTGTTTTCATTATTTATGTATTATTATTAATAAAGTATTTTATTTTATTATGAACAGCTGAATAAATTAAACAATATCAAATAATATATTGTGACATCTTTCATTGCAGTAGACATTTTTATTCTCATGACTGGAAAATATTTATTATAGTAGGATAAATTATAGTTATAATAAAATAAACAATTAAAATGCAAAAAAAAAATTGAAATTATTATTATCATTATTGTTGTTGTTGTATTTGTTGTTATTATTATTTTCTTTGAGTTCTTATATATATATACAGTGGGTACGGAAAGTATTCAGACCCCCTTAAATTTTTCACTCTTTGTTATATTGCAGCCATTTGCTAAAATCATTTAAGTTAATTTAAATGGGGAACTGAACATAAATTAATTAGAAGCACTCAGGTCTTTCAGTTCAAGCAGCCTCCTGTTTGCTCTTCTCCTCAGGTATCTTCAGAGCAATCGTCTGGTCACTCTTCCTCGTGGGATCTTTGACTGTGGGCCGTTAGCTGTGCTGTAAGTGTGCATGTGGGCGGCAGTATGGTCTAGTTCCCAGATGGTTTTTGAGCTCATATGGTGAGAATGTGTAGGCGGATCTTTCTGGAGTCTCTCCCGAACCGCAGAGTCAAACGCTGAGGAAACCGAACGCGAATCAACCGGACACACTCCACTCTTTCAGCTCAAACAAAAGCAAAATAAATAGAAAGTGAAACAAGTCATGTATCAGGACGTTTATATTTGTTGTGTGAACCGTAACACACATGCACCTCGACTACAGCGTTTCTAACACACACACACACACACATTGTATGTTCAATCACATGCCCATTACAACCAATTAAACGTCATTGCTTCAGGCTTTGACTGCACCGTTTCCTGCTGCATTTCAACACACACACACACACACACACACACACACACACACACCGTCTGGTACACCAAAATCACTCCAGAACTTTTCCATATGCTGCTCCAACGGCTGAACAAGGGAACGATTATACTGAGAGGAAAAGAAAGAAGAAAAAACTACTGAGGCTGAGAAATAATATATGTTCCACTTTTGTCTTGCAGAGATTTGAGCAACAACCAGATCACCACCATCGAGGAACGAACGTGTGATAATTTATTTAATTTAACTACGATGTGAGTATAAACACGCACATGTTTCGAATGTTGTGTTGTCAAAACTTTCAAAACTTAAAAAAAAAGCTGAATGACCTGAGCTTAAACCAGAAAACCAGTCTAGATCTTAACACAGATGCGCTAGTTTAGTTTAGTTTAGTTTAGTTTACTTTAGTTTAGTGTGGTGGGTCGGCCTTATTTCTCAGCAGAAGAAAGCAGAAGATCTGTTCTGGCATCATGTCGCAACAGACACACCCAGAGCTCTGAGTCCAGCATCCAAACACTATACTGACAGCTGTGTGTGTGTGAGTGTGTGAGTGTGTGAGTGTGTGAGTGTGTGTGTGTGTGTGTGTGTGTGTGTGTGTATGTGTGTGTGTGTGAGAGAGAGAGTGTTTTTGTGTGTGTGTGTGTGTGTGTGTGCGTGTGCTTGTATGTGTGTGTGTGTGTGTGTGTGTGAGTGTGTGTGCGTGTGCTTGTATGTGTGTGCGTGTGTGCATGTGTGTGTGTGTGTGTGTGTGTGTGTGTGTGTGTGTTTGAGGGATTCATTCCTGTCTGAATTGTGTTTGTCCACTTAACTGAAATTTCATTAAACACACACAAATAAACAACGTCTAAGACACATTCAGTTATGCTTATGTTTGTTAATGCTTTAAAAGTTGTCATATAAATGGGTGAATCTCACAAAGAAATAACTTGGGTCACATTAATCACAATTATATTTTCCACAGGGATGATGAAGCTTCTTTTTAGGACTATTAGGATTTATTGACATTATTTTCCGCATTATGTTTGTCTCCAGACTCTCATTACTATAAAAGTATTGAAAATATGTGTGGACACAATGCTTTTTAAATTAATTTGGCATAAAATAAATTTAGTACAAATACTACCATTATGTTTACGTACATTTGTACAATAGCAGTTTGAATCATACAGCATCATCTTTTGTTTTATTTTATGAGGACCTGTATAAATGGAATAATATTAATTATTATATCATGGCATCCTTTATTACAGCAAACATTTTTATTTTATTTATGAGGAAATCAATAAATTAAATAATACTAAATAATATGTCATGGCATCTTTAATTGCGGTAGACTTATTTGATTTGATTTTAAATTAAATGCAAATCAACCAGGTGCGCTCAAGTCTTTCAGTTCAAACTAAAGCAAATTAAATACAAAAGTTAACTGGTTAAATAGAGATTACTCCAATAAAAGATGTCATAATATATAATTTATTACAAAGTACAATTACAGGTATACTTGGTGGTAGTTTTTGAACTGAATTTAATTTCAAAGTGTGTCCAGATGATTTGCATTACAGTCATGAAAATAATGTCAGGAAATCCTAATGGTGCTACACAGTCTATTTTATTGCATTTTATCGCAGTACCGTTTTGCCAAATTATAATGATCATAGTTAAAGGAAACATTAAGATTCTTTTCCCTTTGTGATTTAATATTCACATATCAAATGATTAAATGGTCTTATCCGAATTCTATTGGCATTTTTTTAATTTTCTAAAGCTTAATTTTCTAGTACAGCGTTCCCTCTGTGACTTTTCAAGTACTGCTTTCATACGCTGATTAAAATTCCCCTGTGAACGTCTTTCAGTTCCACAATAATTATAGATTAGAGTGTGTGTTGTGTTTCCTGGACTGATAAAAGAGTGCGTCTGCGGTGACAGATTGCTCAGCCGCTGCTGTACCATCATTTGTGTACATGTCAAACAAAACCAGGCTTAAGTTATACCCCGGGTCTCCACATCCTCTTTAAATTACTATCCTTATCACACATTGCGGTTTGAATAAGGGCCATATAATGTTTTCAGCCTATGCCGGTTTATGAAATACTCCCTCTGTCTTTTGGCAGAGATCTGAGCTTTAACCCGTTCGTCTGCGACTGTAAGCTGGTGCGCTTGGTGAGCTGGCTGCAGGATCAGGGCGTTCGAGTGAAGCGACCCAACTCTATGCTCTGTGACCGGCCGCCCGAGGTGAAAAACCAGCCGCTGCTCAACGTCAGTGTGCACACCTGCGGTGAGTGACAAGGACACATCTCTGTGTGCAAGTATTAACTATATGAAGTATTTAGGCCAGCTACTTGTGCTGTTTCTGTAGTATGCAGTATGTGTATTGTGCCCAAAATGAGCCCCATGACCTTCTGCATCTATTAAAGTGTACAGTATACAGCAGAGCCGACTGCATGAAATTGTGTCCCATTATGCAATGCACTCAATTTCAAGTCTGGGTTATTATAGTTAAACAAAATGTAGCTTGATGTACTAAATAAAAAAGACACATTAGAAAAAAACGAATAAAAATGGCAAAAACCCAACAAATTATAACAAAATATAAAAGTAAAAACTAACTCAAGATATTAATAAAAACTATATTGGTATCTAATTGATATAACGGTGTCAAATAATAATAATAAAAAATTTAACATAAAAAATTATACAATTTTGCATGTTAAAAAAGGCACATAACATTTAAAAAAAAAAAAGAAGAAATGCACAAAAATGAGTTGTCATTTGCCCAATTAAACATGCACTTAATAAAATCATGTGACAGTGTGCAGCATGCTGCAGTTTGAATTGTTTGTTGAATTAATGCATTAATTAATAATGCTGTAAGCTGGCTGTTATTTTTTAAATAGTTTGTGAAACTGTATACAACAAAAAAAGTGTACTGCAAAAAGATTTATTTTTTTAATTTATTTTTATTTTATTTAAAAGTGTCTTAACATTTGGCAGTATAATTAATTTTTTCTTAAAAATAGGGGGTCAAATTAAGTTGCATTGTTGGATACAGTACACAGCACAGTGTGCTCTATAGAACACATTTTGGAAAATGATGTAGGTCGTTCAGGTATTTCATGCATACTGTGCATGCATACTATATACTGTAGAAACAGTAGCTGTAGTATTTTAGTAAGCTTTTCCAACACATCAGTTGTTTGACACACTGTTAGTATTCAGTATTCAGTACTGCACAGAACATACTCTACAGTTATATTCCAAATGCAGTCGAAACTAATTAATTAATTTACAATAACAGTTTCTTAATTGATTCTCATTTTGATGAACCGATATCTAAATTGGAAGCAGATGAAACCGGAAGCCTTACGAATGGCCGGGCACCTACTTTTGATATGAAACAAACTCTAGGCTTTCAAATTCTGTCCATAAATAGCGTTTTGGCGTTCTTTAATGTGGTGTAACAGATCGCTTTAGCTGCCTTTAGTTCAAGCGGCAGCGAGGAGCGAAAGTGAACTGATCATCTCTTCTTTGATACTAGTTACAGCATGAAATAAACATGAATAAACATCAGAAGGTATGTTGAAAGAAACAGTACAACTTACTGAAATGTATCATGTCTCATGGAATCACTCAATCGTTGTTTCAACAGCAGAAAGACATCAATAAAACAACTTGTAAACAATGTCACATAATATAAACTTGATAGCTAGCTAGAAAAAAAAACTCTAGAAAGAGCATTTTGATAAGAATATGCACTATTACACATTCATTTCATTTTTATTTAACCTGTTCTGCAATATTTAATGTATATTTGAATAAATCCGTCCTGAAAACAAGTTTTTATGACAGACACCGTTTAAATGTATTTACAGTGGGTACGGAAAGTATTCAGACCCCCTTAAATTTTTCACTCTTTGTTATATTGCAGCCATTTGCTAAAATCATTCAAGTTAATTTTTTTTCCTCATTAATGTACACACAGCACCCCATATTGACAGAAAAACACAGAATTGTTGATATTTTTGCAGATTTATTAAAAAAGAAAAACTGAAATATCACATGGTCCTAAGTATTCAGACCCTTTGCTGTGACACTCATATATTTAACTCAGGTGCTGTCCATTTCTTCTGATCATCCTTGAGATGGTTCTACACCTTCATTTGAGTCCAGCTGTGTTTGATTATACTGATTGGACTTGATTAGGAAAGCCACACACCTGTCTATATAAGACCTTACAGCTCACAGTGCATGTCAGAGCAAATGAGAATCATGAGGTCAAAGGAACTGCCTGAAGAGCTCAGAGACAGAATTGTGGCAAGGCACAGGTCTGGGCAAGGGTACAAAAAAAATTTCTGCTGCACTTAAGGTTCCTAAGAGCACAGTGGCCTCCATAATCCTTAAATGGAAGACGTTTGGGACGACCAGAACCCTTCCTAGAGCTGGCCAAACTGAGCTATCGGGGGAGAAGAGCCTTGATGAGAGAGGTAAAGAAGAACCCAAAGATCACTTTTAGCAAATGGCTGCAATAAAACAAAGAGTGAAAAATTTAAGGGGGTCTGAATACTTTCCGTACCCACTGTATATTTCCAAAAAAAAATTAGAATGGAAACATAATTGTTTCATTAAAGAAAACTCCCTTAAGTGCAATTTAAATGTTTGTATACAAATCAGTTGTTCATTTTAACCTTTAATATATCCAAACTAGTGCTGGGCAACGATTAATCGCGATTAATCACATCCAAAATCGACAGCCCCAAAACATTACTGCTCTAGAGTAGATCTGCATGGAGGAATGGGCCAAAATACCAGCAACAGTGTGTGACAACCTTGTGAAGACTTACAGAAAACGTTTGACGTCTGTCATTGCCAACAAAGGGTATATAACAAAGTATTGAGATTAAATTTTGTTATTGACCCAATACTTATTTTCCACCATAATTTGCAAATAAATTCTTTAAAAATCCTACAATGTGATTTTCTGGATTTTTTTTTCTCATTTTGTCTCTCATAGTTGAGGTATACCTATGATGAAAATTACAGGCCTCTCTCATCTTTTTAAGTGGGAGAACTTGCACAATTGGTGGCTGACTAAATACTTTTTTTCCCCACTGTAAGTACATGTAAATATTTTCAAAATATACACTGTATGTGTGTGTCTTTATATATACATATACACACATATATATTATATAAACAAAAACTTCCATTTTGGATGCGATTAATCGCGATTAACCATTGCCCAGCACTAATCCAAACAAATCGATATCAAATCAAATTGAATCGAATCACGAGCTAGTGAATCATGAAATCGAATTGAATCATGAAATGTGTGTCAATACTCAGCCCTAACCATTAACCCCATTAACTTTACCTGTTGACCTTCATTTTTTGTTAACTCACTCCAAATGGAAACTGGGACATTTATTTCAGAGCTTTGACATGGTCATGGACATGTTGCTGTCTCTCTCTCTCGCTCATCTCTCAGGCCTGACGTACGCGGGCTGTCTGCAGGACGAGGAGCATGCTGCAGGCGTGGAGCTGGTCATCTTCTCCTCCTCCACTCCCGGCCCGTTCTCGCGTGAGGAATGCAACTCCAAATGCTTCCATGAGAACCAGCGCTACGGCGGTCTGGGTCAGCAGAGAGAGTGTCTGTGCAGCACCAACTCCGAGCCCAACCACATCAGCGAGTCCCAGTGTTCGGCCGCGTGCTCGGACCCGCTGGTCATGAAGGAGTGCCTCTGGACTGTGGCGCAGGATGTGTTTCAGGTTCAGATTGTTACCTTGCCTTTGACTTGAATAATCATGTGATTACTGACCCGAGGGTACAAAAGTCTTCTATTTCAAATAAATGCTGTTCTTTTGAACTTTCTATTCATCAAAGAAATGTTTTGTGATTTCTGAAGCATCATGTGAAAGCTGAAAATTCAGCTTTGCATCACAGCAATAAATTACATTTTACAATATATTCACATAGAAAACAGTTATTTTAAACTGTAATACTATTTCACAGTTTTACTGTTTTTACTGTATTTTAGTTAGTATAAATGCAGCCTTGATGAGCAGAAGAAACTTCTTTCAAAAATGTTCAACTCCAAACATTTGAACGCTAGTGTGTCATAGTAGTTTGGATATGTTCTCCATCCACAGGTGAATTTCTCTGCCTCTCTTCCTTCTCGCCGTGTGTCCGTTCATTCAGAGGCTGTCCTGTCTGTCGCCTCGTCCGTCTTCCCTGCCTCTTTCTCATGGGACTTCGGTGACCTTTCGCCCCGGGTCAACACCTCTACGCCCAACACCACGGCGAGGCATAAGTACGGTGTCCCGGGACGGTACCAGGCTCAGGTGAGTCTCTCGGCGGGTCACCAGGAGATCGTGGCGCAGGGGAACGTGAGCGTGGAACTGCCCCCTCGACTCGAGCTCCGCTGCCCCGAACTCATAGTGGCCAATCAGAGCCTGGAGGAGGTGGTCTCTCTGGTCAACTGGGGCGGAGTGGGCGTAAACGTGGACTGGAGGATCAGGAAGGATGGGAGAGAGATAGCAAGAGGTACAAGACAAAAACATACGCTCTGTTCTAAGACCAAATTTTTACAAGCATATTAGAATGATTTCTGAAGGGTCATGTGACACTGAAGACTGGAGTAATGATGCTGAAAATACAACTTTGATCACAGCAATAAATACTTTTTTAAATTATATTTAAATAGATTAGAACAGTTATTTTAAATTATAACAATAAAGTAATAATGTTTCCCAATATTACTGTTTTTACTGTATTTTTGATCAAGTAAATGCGGAATTTATATTATATTATATTATATATTATTGTTGTTTAGAATTGGAAAATTGTTCTAAATGATATTTCTGAAGTCAAATTTCTGGCCCTTTAGCGGAGCCGCTGTGTTTGCCAGATGCGATCCATCACGCTGACTCCTCCCGCTGTTTCCTGTTGGTGTCGGAGGAAGTCAGCTGGTCAGATGCTCGGCAGAATTGTTCAGCCCGTGGTGGGGAGCTCGCCGTGGTGCATTCCCAAACCGTCCGGGACCTTCTGGCCCCTCGAATCACACAGTGAGTCAGACACTGTTAGAAATGCTTTTCAACTGTTGTTCTGAAACATCTGTAGGCATTTATTCTAAATTCCAAAATTCCAAAATCTATTATCTTGTGACTTTGTATTAGAGGATTCCGTCTCGGATATCTTTGGATGTGTTGATGGCTTTCATGTGATTTACTCGTGTGTTCAAATTCCGTCTGCAGCTGAAATGACACATTTCACCATTAAATAATATCTGACTTTATCTCATAAAGATGCTGAATTAAGTTACTTCCGCTGCCAGTGCAACATTTTTCATTGAGACCTGTGCCACCCCACTCACTTTTTCTTCCCTCTCGTCGAGCCCTCTTGAAACAGCAGCAGGGCACCATGGGAAATGCCTTTTAAAGTCACTCTCAGTGCTGCCCAGTTCACGATCTGCAGCAAAAGGACTGAAAATGTGTGAGTTCCTCACAGGAACAGACAGAAAGGGCAGAACGTTCACAGCCAAAGACCAGACGCAGACTTGAAAGTTCACAAGGAGACCAAAACATTAGAATATTGGACGTGTGAAACCATTACAGACATACAGCAAAAAATTATTTTACTTGAAAAGCAAAATTATATAAGATATTAAATCTTGCTTTTTGGGGGGAAAAAAATCTAAATTAAGTTTTTGCCTAAAACAAGAAAAAAAGATCTGCCAATAAAGTAAGAAAAAAATCTTATTTTCCCTTTTAATAAAATGTATTTTTCTTACCCCTATTTTTTTTTTCTTGTTTTGAAGGAATAGTTTTTTCATGGAAACCGATTTGCAGAAATGTAGCATTCCATCACTTGCTCACCAATGGATGCTCTGCAGTGAATGGGTGCCGTCAGAATGAGAGTCCAAACAGCTGATAAACACATCACAATAATCCACAAGAAATCCACACCACTCCAGACCATTAGTTAAAGCCTTGTGAAGCCAAAAGTTGTGTGTTTGTAAGAAACAAATCCATTATTAGAGTTTTTTTAATTTTAAAGCATTTCTTCTGGCCAAAATAGGAGTCTATAATCCATAATAACGCTTCCTCCAGTGAAAAAGTCCATCTCCTGTTGTCCTCCTACATCAAAATCCACCCACATATTTGTTTAGATCTGTTTTGGGTTGTTTTTGCTTGTAAACAGTGCTTGATCTGTGCAGATTTCTCTCCTGATTCAGACGAGACGACTTTTTCACTGGAGAAAGCAATATTATGGATTATGGGCTCGCGTTTTAGCCAGAATCAGAAATCAGAAGAGCTTTATTGCCAAGTGTGTTTACACACACAAGGAATTCGTTGTTAGGAGCTTCGGTTTGAAGTTCAAATGATGGATTTGTTTCCTACAAACACACAGCTTTTCACTTCACTGATGGTCTGGAGTTACTTGTGGATTATTGTGATGTTTTTATCAGCTGTCTGGACTCTCATTCTGACGGCACCCATTCACTGCAGAGGATCCACTGGTGAGCAAGCGATGTAATGTTACATTTCCCCAAATCTGTTCCCATGAAGAAACAAACTCATCTACATCTTAGATGGCCTGAGAAAGAGCAAATTTTCAGCAAACTTTCATTTTTTTCAAGCATAAACAAACACACTTAATCTTGACACATTTTCAGAAACTTTTCAGAGACTTGATATCTAAATTTATTTTGCTTCTGAAGTAAATGTATCTCGATTGAAAAATGTTTTGATGTTTCTACTAGAATAAAAACAAAAATACTGAGTAAGAAAACCATTTTTTTTTTGCAATGCACGGCCTTTGTTTCTGCATGTAATGTAATCCATGCACATAATGAACATTTCTGCCTTCGTCTGCTTCATCTTTTGTCTCTCTTGTTGTTTGGTCGCACATTGAGCACCTCGTCTCTGTGCACCAGGAGCGAAGAGATCCGTTAATAGCTCATTTTGTTTTCTGTTCAGAGATGGAGCTGATGTTCACCCTTAATCTGTGTGTGCTCATCATCTCCCAGAGCTGAGAAATCACGTTTTTATGTCTCTGCTGAGCATGCCAACTCTAAATCCTGCTTTGTTTTCAGAGTCCGTGTTCGTGAAATAATAGGTAGTTATTACTTTATCTTGGACTGAAATTCTGACCACAAAGTCTAAACACATATTGTGTTTCTTAAGACAAATCACATTCATTTATATAGCGCTTTACACAATACGAATTGTTTCACAGTAATAAGCAGTACTAATGTTGCAAAATTCATCAACTATGAAATGATTGTATTCGACATGGTATTTATTTATAATCTTTGTAAGATTATACAAACATAAATTATATGAAAATTAGTTTATTAAGCTGAACGTCTTAATTCTTAAGAATGTTTTCGACCCACTACATTAAGTTCCTCTTAAGTGCCACTTTTTTTTTTTTTTTCTTTTTTAAACAGAAAAATTATTCAAATTCTTCAGAAGAATGTTCTTAAAAATCATCATAATTTCTTAAAGTTAGGATAAACTCCAAATTGTTTTCCAAATTCCCAAAGGTTTATAAAGCCTGCCATTTTATTCTAAATAATATATATATATATCAAAGAAAATATTGGAGAACTTTTTAAGAATTCTTCAATAATCTGAACATTCACAAGAATATCTTATGAAATTATCTGTAGAACTTAATTTTTTTTTTTTTTAAGATTTGGTGTTCCTAAAGTCCGATGTGGTGTTATTTTAGTATTATTTGTTTTTTATTAATATTTTGAATTAGCTTTTATTTTTAGGTTTTCAGTTTTTTCATTTTTGGTCATTTTGTTATGTGCATTTGTCATTTTTATTATTTTTTTTCTGCGCAGGTTTAATTTATTTTTTATTTTAGTTTTATTTATTTTTCCGTTTTTTAAATTTTTGTTTAGTTTAAGTTTTCATCTAATATTTATGTTTTTATTTTATTTCAGCTTTATTTCAGTAAACAAATGTGTTTTTAAAAGTTTTAGTTTAGTATAATAACCTTGCTCTAAAATGCGTTAAAATATCAAAATGACTTGCAGTTAAATAATTATGATAAAAGAGAAAATGTTTGGCATGGTATTTATTTATAATCTTTGTAAGATTATACAAACATAAATTATATGAAAATTAGTTTATTAAGCTGAACGTCTTAATTCTTAAGAATGTTTTCGACCCAGTACATTAAGTTCCTCTTAAGTGCCACATTTTTTTCTTTTTTTTTTTTTACTTTTTTTTTCTTTCTTTTTTTTTATCAAAACAGAAAAATTATTCAAATTCTTCAGAAGAATGTTCTTAAAAATCATCATAATTTCTTAAAGTTAGGATAAACTCCAAATTGTTTTCCAAATTCCCAAAGGTTTATAAAGCCTGCCATTTTATCCTAAATAATATATATATATATATCAAAGAAAATATTGGAGAACTTTTTAAGAATTCTTCAATAATCTGAACATTCACAAGAATATCTTATGAAATTATCTGTAGAACTTAATTTTTTTTTTTTAAGATTTGGTGTTCCTAAAGTCTGATGTGGTGTTATTTTAGTATTATTTGTTTTTTATTAATATTTTGAATTAGCTTTTATTTTTAGGTTTTCAGTTTTTTCATTTTACTTTCATTTTTGGTCATTTTGTTATGTGCATTTGTCATTTTTATTATTATTTTTTCTGCGCAGGTTTAATTTATTTTTTCCGTTTTTTTAAATTTTTGTTTAGTTTAAGTTTTCATCTAATATTTATGTTTTTATTTTATTTCAGCTTTATTTCAGTAAACAAATGTGTTTTTAAAAGTTTTAGTTTAGTATAATAACCTTGCTCTAAAATGCGTTAAAATATCAAAATGACTCAAATTTCAACTGATAAATCATATTGTTCAATACATTTTTGCAGGAATTTTTGGAAAATATCATTGAGCTGTTGTCGTATGCATGACTTTATTCTGTGATTTTTGCACTGGGGTCTATTTGTTCCTGCTTTCCGTCACTGTTTTCATGTCTCGTTTGAAGGCAAATTAAACTTTAAAATGATCAGCGTCCCGTCAGGTTCAATAACGCGTCGTTAAGTCGCACATTCCCCTCGGCTGCTGCTTTATTAGGGTTATTGAAGCTCTGAACGCACTATGCATAAAACATCGAGAGCGCATTCGCCTCGCATTAACGTCCTGTGTGTGTTTGATTCCAACGGGAAGAAAAATCACAGGCGACATCTCTTTAAAACCTCAGTCGCTGCTCTTGGATGGTAATGAGAATAAATGGAGAGCGAAAGCAATAGTTGGGCCGGGATTGATAATTCTGTCATCATTTATTCACGTCATTCTGAATCTGTGGGAAACCCTTTTTTTAATGAGCTGTTTCTTTTAGGCCTGGAAGCAGCTCTGGGTCTGGTTTGTGATGTTGTCTGTGTTTGTGTGCGCTGCAGGGAGCGTGGAGTGTGGTTGGGTTTGAGCGATCAGTACTCTCCCCGTGTCCTGCACTGGGTGGACGGTTCGGAGGTCCTGACAGGGGAGGAGGGCACGAGGGACCGGGCCACGCTGCAGCCTGGAAATGTGTGTGTGTCACTGGACGGCAGCGGGCAGCCCAGCTCCCACTCCTGCACCGCCAGACGAGCGTTTGTCTGCCAGTTCACACGCCACGGTAAACAACACCATACACACCTCTGGACTCTACAGCTGCAGTCTGCATACCATACATACTAGCTAGTATACATCATTTCAATTGGTGCATCCTAAATTATAAAAAAAACATGCTTGCATGTGCACTGTTTTCAGTGGATTTTATGTGCATCTGCACATGCATTTTTTATTGCCCATAACTTTTTGCAATATGGATGAGTGACATCTGCTCTAGTTCCTAAACACACATATTTTTTTCTTTTCTTTTTTTTTTTTTGTAAAAAAAAAAAAGTATACACATCTCTAGATCTTGCGTACTATATAGTATGCATCATTTAAATTGGTGCAGCCCCAATGTAAAAATCTGTACTATTTTCATTTTAGGTGGATTTGTGCATAATTTTGCTAATATTGCCCACAAGCCCTTACAATATGGATAAAGAGTGACATTTGCACTTGATCTTAATTACATTTTTTGTTTACATTTTTTTTGTACATAAATGACAAAAAAAGTACTACTAATCATAAAGGTTTATATAAAAGTCCAACTTTTTTACTTTTTTAATGATAATAAAGGTAATATAAATGTAAGGTCATGTTAAACTTAGTGCAAGTGCAAACTATATTTGAGGGATAAATAATATATATATGGGTCAAAGACGTTAAGATGTCCGCATCAAAAGAAATGTACAAAAGTGATTTTATGTCCATAGAAAGCACATTAAATGTAAGTACAGTGTCTACTTTTAAGGTTTCAAATAAGTTTTTGGAGAATAAAATGTCAAAAATTGTCATTCAGTGTAACATTCAAACAACATGCTTATTCTGACGTGTACATATTAAAATATATAAAAGAATAAGGGAGCATATTAAATTTGTGTTTTAAATGAGTAAAAAATTCTTACTGACAAATGGGCAAAATCTAGGATAGCGGCACATTTTAAAAATGTAAAATTACAGTATTTGGGGTGAAAGTAATTAGTTCTTTAATATGTCATAAATAGATTTTTGTTGTAAATATGCCTGACAAGATTGTTACACTGAATGACATTTTAGTGGGTCTCTTCTGTAAATCAGGCAAAAATGTATTATATTTATTTTTTGCTCAGAAAAACAAAAACAAAATTGCAATTAAATAAAAAATATATATTTTTGGGGGGAAAACAACAACAATTTAAAGCAGTATTACACTTATTGTTTTTATGCTTAAATCCTTTTCGTTTATATATAAATTATTTTAAAAAATATTAATAATTATAAATTTTTTATTGAAAAATGTACCAATTTATTAATAATTAAAATTTTTAATTGTGCTTAATATTAAAAGTACTTTGTAAAAGTAATATTCTTCTTTTGTGTCATTTTTCAATCATGTCAAGTTTATTTATGTCTCATCAAGTATATAGCACTTTATATGATATAGATTATTATTAAGCAGCCTCACAGTGTTCTTTATATTTCTTTATGATCAGTTACAGTATAAAGTTAATTCATTTGTAAATGCTGCAAAATTCATGCATTTTAAAACTAACTCAGCTGTAAGCAGCTCTACAGAAAACAGTAGTTTCATTATTTAGCTCAGTTTAATTCAGTGTTGGTTTAGTTTAGTTCAATAACAGCGTTGCAAAGTTCATCGGTGATGAAACAGACTTCAGCTATAAAGCAGCACTACAGAAGACGATAGTGCCATTATCCAGCTCAGTTCACGATTTGTTTCAATGATAAGAAAGAAATTATTTAATGCACCTTTCAAGCAAAATATGACACAGAAGCGTGTGCATTGGGATGCGGCCTACATGTCTGATTATCACTGAGCAAGTCAAATAAACCATGAAGCCAGTTACTCCTGCTGAAGTCTGATTGGTCAAGGTAGTCGACCTGCTCCAATCACGTCACTCGAAGCACATGAGCAAAGTACAGATTGACACGGAATGAAGTAAATCACATTTAATTTGAATTTCCGCTGAAAATGACCTTGCAGTGGCCGTTGCTGCTTCGAAGGTCTGCACCGCTTTAGTGCAGCAAATTCAGTGGATGAGAAAAAATGAAAAAATGAAAAGCACTTTTGAATTGAAATGGCAGAGATATTATGTCACGGCACGCAGTTATTCTCTTTGCACCCAGCTGAGCTTATTTCACTTATTATTCTCCCCCTGATGTGATTTTTCTTTTCATTATTCAAAGTATTGAACACCTCAGAACGGTGATGCAGAGAAAGATCGAAACACGCTCCGCAGCTCAAACAGCAGTCGATTTAATCAGTAACGCTGCAGCTGTGTGTTTGTGTGCTCAGCTTTACGTATGGACAAAAGTGTTTGATGTGAGAACGAGTGCTGATGGGGCAGAGTCTGCATGCACACTCTTCTCCGCAGGAGATAAGCGTCTGTGTTTGTCTGCAGTGCGTGTTCCTGATGCCGCTGTGTGTGCGGTGGGCACCGCTGTGTTTCACTCCCACAGTCCTCCGAGCAGCCCCACAGCGACACACTCCTCTGTGCCCAACACACCCGCCGGGAGCGTCGAGGTAAACACACAGAACTATAGAGCCGAAAAGAGCTTTTTAAATTAACTATAGATTGTGTCTTGTATTTTTTTTTTTACCAGGAGAAATTCTAAGAATTCAATCAAATTATACAGGTTTTATTGTAATGTTATAAGAAGCCTGTTTGTGTATTGTTTGTTTCTTTTGGTGTAAAATTCATTTAATCAATCACCCCATTTATATACATAAAGTTATTGTATTTTTTCTTAAATATACTTTTACCATGAATCTTAGAAATACAGTCATATTCAAAGATTTTATATACTGTAGTTTTTTTTATTGTTGTAAAAAGTCTGTTTGTAGCGTTTGGTATAAAATGCAATAAATGAATAATAATACATACTTAAAAAAAAACGTTATTTGTATTTTCACACATTAAAATGCAATAAATGCATAATTATAAATTATATTATAAATAAAAAATATTATATGATAACATTTTAAAATATCTTTATTTATATTTTCATTCAGACAAATTCTAGGAAGTTAATCAAATTGAAATGCAATAAATAAATAATTATTTTAAAAAATATATATATATGTACATACTAGTGCTGTCAAACGACTAATCGCGATTATTCGCATCCAAAATAAAAGTTTTTGTTTACATAATATATGAGTGTGTACTGTGTATATTTATTATGTATATATAAATGCACACACATACAGTATATATTGAAAATATTTACATGTATATACATTTATATATTTATATTCTTATATTTTATATTGTGCATAAATATATTTAATATATAAACATTACATATTTTTCTTAAATATATACATGTATGTGTTTGTATTTATATATACATAATAAATATAGACAGTACACACACATATATTGTGTAAACAACAACTTTTATTTTGGATGCGATTAATCGTTTGACAGCGCTAGTGCATACATATTTATTTATTTATTTTAAAAATTAACTTTGTTCGTATTTTCGCTCAGAAAAATTCTAGGAATTGAATCAAATTGAAAGATCTTAAATACTTTTTAGTGTGGTGTTGTATGACAATAGAAAATAGGTGTAAAAAAGGTGTAAAATACAATAAAAAAATTATTATAAATCTTTTTTTTTTTTATGAACTTTATAATTTTGTATTTTCACCAGGACAAATTCTGTTCATTAGAATTCATCATTATAAAGAATTAGAAAGAAAAGTTGTATGAAGCCATTTGTGCAATCTTTTTGTTGTGTTCTGTTATCTTTTGATGTAAAAATACAATTAAAATACAAACATAATTCTGTTGACTTATCAGTGTAGTGCGCATTATAACTGCAGTTAGTTTCGGTTCTCTTTGCACTTTTAAATAAAATTATTTTTGGTATAGGATGTATAAAATAATTATGAATATGTGATTTTGTTTTCTTTTGCTTCTAAACAGAAATGTACACCAGACAGACATTGTGGTGATTAATGTATGATCTGTGCTGAGCCTTGGTTTGGTGATGTTGACATGTTTACCTGTGTGTGTGTGTGTGTGTGTGTGTGTGTGCGCAGCTGCTCCTGTTCCCTGGACTGAGTTTTCTGAGCGCGGGGCGTCTGTCGTCTCTGGAGCTGATCACACAGTCTCGAAGCGCAAACACTCAGCTGCGCTTTCAGGTGTACCGACCGCACTGCCAGAGACTCACACACAAGCTGCTGCCAGGTACAGTGATTTTGTTTTCTTTTGCTTCTAAACAGAAATGTACACCAGACAGACATTGTGGTGATTAATGTATGATCTGTGCTGAGCCTTGGTTTGGTGATGTTGACATGTTTACCTGTGTGTGTGTGTGTGTGTGTGTGTGTGTGCGCAGCTGCTCCTGTTCCCTGGACTGAGTTTTCTGAGCGCGGGGCGTCTGTCGTCTCTGGAGCTGATCACACTAAAAACAGTGAAATATTATTATAATTGAAAATAACTGTTTTCTATGTGAATATATTGTAAAATGTAATTTATTGCTGTGTTGCTGTGAGAATTTTCAGCATCATTACTCCAATCTTCAGTGGCACATGATCCTTCAATAATCATTATAATATGCTGATTTGCTGCTCAAGACACTTTTCTTTTACTATTATCAATTGTAAAGCTGGACATGAACCAATACTAAATGTTTCCACCGATAACCGATTATTCAGAATGATATCTGCAGAAACAGATACCGATAATCCCAACTAATGCTGTAAATTATACAGGGAACCCTTTGATTTGTACCATTACTATAATATCACAGGTTACAAATAACAACAGATCCCAAACTATTCAACTGCTATTCATTTTCATATATAATAATCACACACAAAACGTCTCTAGGTTACGTATGTAACCATGGTTCCCCAAGGAAACGAGACGCTGCGTCGAGTCGCTTTGGGAACGCCCTTGCGTGACCGCGTTCTGAAGCACGTGTCAAATCCGTCCAATGGAGCAGCGAGACGTCACGAGCAGGGTGACGTAAGCACCAGAAAGCATAAAGGCACATCCGGCCGGGCGCAAACCAGCTTCGATGAAGTAGCGCCTGCAGGGATGCAGGGAGTATGGCAAAGAGACGCAGCGTCTCGTTCCCTCGGGGAACCATGGTTACATACGTAACCTAGAGACGTTCCCCTTCAGGAACTCGAGCTGCGTCGAGTCGCTTTGGGAACGAGAATACCAACTGCGCCATACTACCAAGTCCCTGCCTGTGTGTGTGTCCTATGAGCACATCACGAAGAGAGAACTTGGGAACCTGGGGTAGAAGCCAGGTCTAGGTTGTAAAAG